CAGAAACTGTAGAGCAGTACATTGCAGGAGAATCACTTGAACGTTGGAGGTGGAGGTTGCAGTGAGCTGAGATAGCTCCACTGCACTCCAGCCTGGGCAACAGAGCAAGACTCCATCTCAAATAAAAAGACAAGGCCGGGCGCGGTGGCTCACGCCTGTAATCCCAGCACTTTGGGAAACCGAGCCAGGTGGATCACAAGGTCAGGAGATTGAGACCATCCTGGCTAATAAGTGAAACCCCGTCTCTACTAAAAATACAAAAACAAAATTAGCCGGGTGGGCACCTGTAGTCCCACCTACTCAGGAGGCTGAGGCAGGGGAATGGTGTGAACCCAGGAGGTGGAGCTTGCAGTGAGCCAGGATCGCGCCACTGCACTCCAGCCTGGGCAACGGTGAGACTACGTCTCAAAAAAAAAAAAAATCAAATTTCAAATAATGAAACAAACTCTGGGGATAGATGGTAGTGATGATTGCACAATGTGAATGTACTTAATGCTACTGAACTGTAGACTTAACAATGGTTGCAATGGTAAAGGTTGTTTGTTATGTATGTTTTACCGCACACACACACACACAAATGTATTTTCAAAATTTTTAAATAATACAGAAGGCTTATAAGTAGAAAGGAGTCTCCTTGGCCATGCACAGTGTCTCACACCTGTAATCCCAGCACTTTGGGAGGCTGAGGCGGGCAGATCACCTGAGGTCAGGAGTTCAAGACCAGCCTAGCCAACATGATGAAACACCGTCTTTACTAAAAATACAAAAAAGTTAGCTGGGCATGGTAGTGGGCGCCTGTAATCCCAGCTACTGGGGAGGCTGAGGGAGGAGAATCGCTTGAACCCAGGAAACAGAGGTTGCAGTAAGCAGAGATCATGCCATTGTACTCCAGTGTGGGTGACAAGAGTGAAACTCCATCTGAAAGAAAGAAAGGAAGGAAGGAAGGGAGGGAGGGAGGGAGGGGGGAAGGCGTCTCCTTTTGGCACTTTCCATAATTAACCATTATTAATAATTTCTTCTGGCTGGGCGCAGTAGCTCACGCATGTAATCCCAGCACTTTGGGAAGCTTAGACGAGCGGATCACATGGGGTCAGGAGTTCAAGATCAGCCTGGCTAACATGGTGAAACCTTGTTTCTATAAAAATACAAAAAATTAGTCAAGCGTGGTGGGGCACACCTGTAATTCCAGCTACTTGGGAGGCTGAGGCAGGAGAATTTCTTGAACCTGGGAGGTGGAGGTTGCAGTGAACCGAGATTGTGCTATTGCACTCCAGCTTGGGCAACAAGAGCAAAACTCCGTCTCAAAAAAAAAAAAAAAAAAAAAAAAAAACCTTCTTATGTACAAACATATAAACCTATTTTTTGGTATTTTTTCTTTTTATTTTCTTTTCTCTTTATTTTTTTGAGACAGAGTCTTGCTCTGTCACTCAGGATGGAGTATAGTGGTGTGATCACAGCTCACTGCAGCCTACACCTCACAGGCTCAAGCGATCCCTTACTTCAGCCTCCTGAGTAGCTGGGACCATCAGTGTACGCCACCATGCTTGGCAAATTTTATATTTTTTGTAGAGAGAGGGGTCTCACCATGTTGCCCAGGCTGGTGTTTTTTCTTTTTAAAACATAAATGAAATTATACTATATGTGTTGCATATATTATATGTTATTTTTTATGTAATAAAAAATA